ATGTTACATATACCCTACATGCCTACTTTATCTTAAGAAGATTTAACATTTCATAGGGGTAACATGTGACAAGCCACCTGGTATTCATGTATTCATGGTATAATGAACTTCTTAAATCAAAATACAAGTTTAAACACAATCATTAAACACTTTTTGTATTGAAATGCTTCACTTAATTTTTTTTTAAAAGATATAAAAAAGGCAATAAAAAAAAAGTCCAAAAGTAAAGACAGCAAAAAAAAAACAACGATACATTTAGACAAACAGCAGTCCACAGAAATCTGAAGATAGAGCAGAACCCAACCAATAATTGATGCATGGCATCTTAAGTATTTTCTGTAAGCTGAGTAGACACATTTATATAGACCAGAATTTTTAGACCAAAAGAATATTAAAAAAAAAAACTGAAAAATTATCAATTGCTAGGACATAATTTATACAAATGTACTTACACAAATTATTTCTATTTACACAAACAAATTTTGAATAATATGAACTCAAATTGAACCTAGACAGATATCATTATTAGCTCCAGTGTGTCAAATATCCCACTCAACATTCAACACCCTCCTTACAGTCCTGTTGCAAGTAATATCCAGCAATTTTGGCATCAAATTTTGTGTGTAAACAGTACATACATGTAATAAGGGCAAGCTATCTCGAAAACAGTTTAAATTCCAACCCACCCCACCCCCCAATTTAGATTCAATTTACAAATAACATATTATTATCATAATTATGTATCTTCTATCAGTATGGGTTTTCCTCATTGTTGAAGGCTGAAGGATGGCCCTATAGTTGCTAATGATCAAAGTCATTTTGACTCGGGTGAATAATAGTCTCAATGGCAATCATACCACATCTCCTTATTTTATAAACAGACAAAAATCTTCACTGCCAACATGCCTTTTTGGAACTGTAATTTATATTTTCAATCCCTTCAATAGGAGCCATGAAAATATTGCTGACATGATTCCCTTTCATGGAAGCCAAGAAAACTTCGAAAAAAGTTTCCTACCCAAGGTCCTAATGGCACGGATGGATGGATGGTTAATAGACCTGCTATCACCCGTGGTGGTGCAGATAAAAACTGGTCAACTGATTGATTTAAGGGTAACCAAATGAAGGACATGTGTAACACAGTATGACCCAGTCATTTGGCAGGGGGGATAAATAAATCATAAAAGATTACTATCAAAAACCTTCTTGGATCAGAAACTAAAAAATAACTCTTTGTGTGATCTAACATGACTGAATTGTGCACACAGGCATCTAAGAAGTCAATTAGGCTACTTGGAAAAACTGGTCAGATGTTGGTTTAAATCTGTTTGATTAAAAAAAAAAAATTGTTATCCCACAAATAATATTGATTTCTTTTCTGATGGTTCTGTTCAAATCGTTTCAAGAAAAAAGATGTTAAACATTTTTAAAAACATCATCAGTATAATGCTTTTACATAATATCCTTCAGTTCAGTTACCAAGTTGCACTAAAATCGGGAGACCAATAAATTGACCTCCTTGTATGATTTACATCATACTGATCATGTCAATAAAAGTAAAATAGCAATATAATTTTATTGGATTTGATTACATTACCTCTTGTCTAATCATAGATTAAATAGCTTTTTCCATGTGGCCTACACTAATTGCATATTAACATCAAAGGATTATAAAATACAATAAAACTGGAGTGGTCATTTGTAAACATGTCCTCTCTAATAAATTATCATTAGTTTCATTGTCAAGAAATGAAGTGGTCAGTTGACAAAATATTGTAAGAAGTAGGAGAACAATGAACACTATCTGTTCAATAGTATTGTAACCTGTACATCATTCCATTACTATCTTCTGAAGTATAATGCAAGAGAGAATTTATAGGCAAATGCATTAAACAATAAGAAAATAACTGGCAAGTTCCTGTAAGTTTTACTGCTTACTAAGGGCTATTTTACATTAAAAATTTTTTTTAGTCATTATTAGGGCAGCCATATCAAACATTTGGTCATGATTTTTTTTAGTTTTCGAAAATAAAAGTTTACTGTGATTTATCTGACCTCTTCACCATGTTCACATATGAATACAAGATTCAATTAGGACAACATGCTGAGGGAGGATGGACGATGAATAACATTACCTATTCAGCTGTAAAAATTCTACTTCTTATTTGGTATCACATCTGGAAGCCTATGGGGATTTAATGGATATTTAAATGAAATTTGTGTAACAGCTGGATTTTGTCCTCAAAGCCGTCTTTTTTGTTTGTTAAGTTGCCATAGAAATACACTGTTTCTTTTTATTTTAAATCCCATCCTGCTAAGATTTTTTACTAATAATAAGCTTTACTGATAATCAACAAATTTGATAGAAAATACATTATAAGAGAGATTTGAATCAGGTGTGTACACATCTATATCGCCTGGGGATTATGATAGTAGTTTGCTAGATAAAATCTTCCTGGTTAACTTGATACAACAACCTACTAGTATATCCTATGATATTAAATGTGTTACTTTTTTACATCAAGAACCTTTTCATATGATCAATTTCAGCTTTAGCAGTTTATTTACTGATACACAAATTTCTGAATATTTTTCTGAAGTTTTCCATGAACTCCCTTTGCACAGGTCACTCTTTCTTTACATATAATACTAAAAAAATCTTTCATGAAAAAATTCATAAACCCAATTTGTATTCGCCTATAGTCTGCATAGGCATTCTGTTTTGATTTTAAATCTTATATAATGTTAAATGAATCTATATAAATTTTCAAAAGTGCTGCAATTGTATTACAGAAGTTAAGACTATTAGAAAAAAGTGTCTCACTCTCTCTTTCTTAATAACTATGTTTTATTGTTTTGTGCTACAAGAAATATTATATGATAGTTTCATATTTGTAGGTCTTTAGGGCTTACTTTACTGACTTTTAACATTTTACTAATGATGTACTATGATTACCTCTGATAATGGACTAGAATCACAATTATATAAATCTGCTACTGATAAATTTGTCATAATTTTCATCTTTCAAACTTTTCTTGCTGTAAATCATCTGAACTGTCAAGAAGTCACTTATTTCACTATTTGCATCATTTCAATGCTCAATTACATTGTAAGCATCTGTTAATCACAATTTATACTAATTTCTCTTTTCACTTCTAATTTCACGTACTGTAAAATTGTGTGTTTAATCCATATCTAATTTGAAAGGAACATGAAATCTGAGAAGTATTCTAAATAAAAATATTCCATGAATGTCTTTAATTTTTACATTACACCGAATTTCATGTCCAAAGATAAAAACACTACTGTATTCCAGTCTGTGGTCAAGCATTAAGATCACTAAGTTTGCATTAAATAATTAACAACTTTGTGTAAGTCCTCATTACATATTTACTGCATATGAAATATATTATTAACAAATGTGTAAACACACAAAACAATGCTTTACATTCATTACAATCTCATGAACAAAGTACAACAATTAATGTTTGAACTATGCTACATAAAATTTGATTGGTCACTTAGTGTATCACTTGACCAATCAAATAAGATAATCTGGATGACAACATGGGAAACACCTGTCGTCTGCCAGCTGAGGGAATTCCTAAAGAAAAGAAATCCAGGTAGTTGTATAAATATTCACACATGCTTAAAAATAATAAAAGATCAAAGGAAATTTGATTAAAATGGAGTGTAACTGAGAAAACAAGTTATACCATAAAAAGACAGGTGATTGCAGGGTGCTACCATAAATACTAAGGTTCTAATCTTGTATCAATAATTATTACATACCTGTTAATTTTCTTTGATCCTTTAATTGGTAGATTTGCACTAATATACATTTAAGTAACTTATGAAGATTAAATAAAAAGTCTTATATATTTTTACATGTGAAAACTTCTGTTGAGTATGTTTACCACATTAATTTGTAACTTTAAACCATGCTTTTTGTGAAATTATAATAATGATAATTTTAATATCAAATAAATAAAATTATATAAATAATTAACTAAATTAATTTACAATTTTTCATGACTTTTATTAGAGAAACAAATATTTCCCAAGAGGTTATACTATCAATCACTATATAGGAGGGGATAAGGTGTCTGCACAATGATAGGCAGTGTTGCCATAGAAGTGAGAAGTAAAAAGTACAGGTTCCAGCCCTGGTCTAGGAGGAAGTAAAGAATTAGATCTACTCTAACATGGTTAGGTTGATTTTCTATGCAATTTATATATATATATATATATATATATATATATTCAAAGGTGTTGGATTGTTATGTAGAACGATGATGTAGACAGAAAATAAAAGTGTACATCTTTAAAACAATAATAATAATAAAAAAATATTATTATTGTTCTGGTGTTGTTATATATATTATATATATATGATATTTATATTGAGTAAAAGTATATTCCCCTCTTAAATTGAAGTGACATTTACATTTGTAGAAAGAGTGACCCTTTATTTGAACAGCAACTCCTGTAGTCTGCCACCACTGTTGAGAGTCCATTTCCTATAGGTCACCAGGCATTGTCCATTTAAACAACCCCTTTGCCATGTTTATCAACAGTTGGATCATGTCTACCATAGTTGTTTTAAACAAGAGTGCACACGCTGAAATTTCTTGCCTGATTTATTGACCATTGATTTTTTGTTGAAAGTCTTAAAGATAAAAGTTTGACTACAAACATCACATAAACTTGACATTTTTAAAGATGCATGACAATGAGGTCAAGGTAAGATAAATTCTGTCAGACAGACATGTACACCATATAATTATTCCATACACCAAATATAAATGACCTATTGATTATAGTAATTGAAAACAGATCAAAATACAAAAACCAAATATTGACCAATGAATAATGAAAATGAGGCCAAAGTCAGATGATACCTGCCAGACAGACAAGTACATCTTACAATCATTCCATATTTGCTTAAACTTGAAAAAAACAAGACAAAAACACAAAAACTTAACAATGACCAATGAACCATGAAAGTACGGTCAAGTTCAGATGAAAACAGCAAGACTCAGACATTACAATAATTTCATGCACCACATATAGTTACTTATTAAAGCATCTGAGAAACAGACCAAATCACTTAACTTTTAACTTTGATAACTGATCCATGAAATGAGGTGAGGTCAGATGAACCCTGTCAAACACACATGTTGACATTGCAAGGAACCCATATACCACATATAGTTATCCTATTACTCATAATAAGTGAAAAATTCACATTCCAAAAAAGCCATAATTTTTTTTTTCAAGCAGTCGCTGAACCATGAAAATGAGGTCAAGGACAATAGACATATGACAGATGGAAACTTCCTAACCTAAGGTATGAAGCATCCAGGTCTTCTAACTTCTGAAATATAAAGCTTTATACAAATAGTTTATACTGCCGCCTCTACCACCATATAGTAATCCCTATGTCTTGCATAATGCGACGAAGGCGAGACAAAAATCAACGACTTTTACTTATATTCAACCACTTCATACTACCAATATGTATCAAGATACTGCATTCAATAACTTCGAACTTTGCATTTTTTTCAGTGTTATCTATGCAATAGTTTTTATACATGAGTATCCAAGACAAACTATTAAGATATGGTTTAAGAACATTTACAAATAATGGGTACTATCCAAGCGGAAAAGGCAACAGCTCTTTTCCAATGCAAGCAACATTCTTTTAATTTTTCTAACTTTTTTTTTATTTTAATATTTATGATCAATACATATGATATGAAAGACTAAAACTAAATAATGTACTCGATGAGCTTGTATTTACTTTATTGAAGACATAAAACGGTAGGATACAAAAAAAGACAACAATTTTACTCTTTTTCAGACAGAATTTAAAAAATCATGAATTTTTTAATGAAGTAATTGCATAGACAAAACAGTATGTTTCATCACGCCTGACAATGAAGAAAAGTAAACAATAGGTTTAATTGTTTGAATACTACACAATGAATTGTGTTCAGGCTACAAGATGAATTTGATCAATTTCATTTGAAATTATCATTTTTTTTTTTATTGTTATACAATAAATTGGTAGCTTGGATTCTGTATTGATTACAAAGCCTATCAAATGAAGATCAGCAAGAGAGTGAATAAATTTAAGCGAAATTTGAAACCTAACTGATGAAAAAGATAAAATTGTGAACTGAAATTACTTCTAATTGCCCTTCAGATCAATTCCAACAGTAATTCTACCTTCCTTAAAAGAAAACATAGCTGGTAACACGTTGCCAGTGGAACTTACTTTCTATCTATTTACACATTTTTTATTGGTTGTTATTGGACGGAGAACACAGTTATTTTGTAGTGCATTTCAGTTTTAGACAATAAATGCAAATTCAAATAATTGCACTTGCTTCATCTCAAAAAGAATTTTACAGTGTAGTGTACAATTTTTGGGACAAATTATATCAAAATCATAGAAAACTTTATCAGCTCTAACTCAAAATATGGACAATTTTACAATTCAGTTTGACAGCTTCAGTCATGCTAATTTTTGACCTTTTTCAACTGGACCAAATGAAATCACTACTTGCCTTAAAATTCATGACCCATATTTTGTTCACATGTAATTTCATCCCCTTCTTACTGTTATATGTATAAAATAAATTTGGAAGGTGTATGAACAAAATTTGCAAGTTATACACTGTCCACACTAGGGACTTTATTTGTAGACAACGAAAATCAAAGGAAAATAACTGTTGGCTTGGAACTAGCTTTCAGTAAGTGTTTCTGTTAGTTTTTTTTTTTCTGTGTGTGTCTGTATCAATCAGATTTTTATAGTTTGTTCGTATGTTGTGAAATTTCACCACTGTCTCATGTTAGGGGAGGGTTGTGCACCACTAACATGCTTAACCCCGTTACAATCTGCATGTGCCTGTCCCATTTCAGGCGTTTGTGGTTTGTTGCTGTATAATATATTTGTTTTTTTCCATTTGATTTGTTCAATAATCAGGCCAATTTTGATTCTCTCATTTGAATTTTTTACATCTTGTTATGTCAGGGCCATTTATAGCTTGCTAATTGCAGTATGAGTAATGCTCATTGTGGAAGGCCGTTAATTGACCTATAGTCGCTAGCATCTACAGTGGATGATTGTCTCACTGGCAATCATACCTCATCTTATTTTATATAATACAAATAAAACAGATTAAAAATTCATTTGGTAACTAATGCAAGCAACAAAAAAATTCCTGTTAACCCTTTATGAGTGCTCTTAGAAATTCTAAGTTAGAATTGGTATCTTAAATTATAAATGTTTCTATCTAATTCATTTGGTATTCATTCTAGTGGTTTGTATAAACAAAATATTGTCAACATATTTCCTTTTTTTTTTAATTTCATTCATAGCCATAAGGGTATCCAGAATCTCCAATCCATTCCTCAAACAAACTGGAACAAAATCAGATGAACTATGGTCAGTAACTAGAGTTAAGATATATAACAATGTCAACATACACATCAGTTTTCATAAAAGGAAAATATGATGAGGCCCTTTTTTTGCCAAAATTTATACTTACCATACCTGATCTTAAATTTGCCCAAACATGTATATATGTTAAAATTTGTATTTAGTACAATTTCTTTATTTTTGGTTATTTTTTTTTCTTCAACCCTTAGAATGTATTAATTGTAGATTAAAACAAAATGAAGAATGCGTCCCCCTTCCCCACTTGTAAATATACGGCAAATTCTGAAATTGACAATGGGACATAACTCCAGAAGAGCGAAAGTGACACCACCCAAATTCAAACTTGATCTGAGTCTGGTGGTAATAAGTTTCATAACATTTGGTTGAGGCAAGCTAAAGTTAGAGAATGGAAACTAATTTTGGAAGGTACAGACATACAGACAAGGGTGTAATGCCCAATCCACTGCGGGAGGGACATACAAATAAAAACTTATTTCACATTTGATGAGTTACCATGGCAACACAAAATGACAAAATTAGTATTTAGTACAATTTTTTTTATTTTTGGTTATTTTTTTCTTTAACCCTTAGAAAATATTAATTGTTGATTAAAAAAGTAAAGGCAAACCAGAATAACAACTTAATATTTGGTGAAATTATGTAAAAAGCTTCTCAATTTTACTATATATCTGTAATTGTTTATTAAAAAAAACCCTAAAAAAATACATATCTAGTTCAACTATAAACAGTAAGTATATATCTATTATGGTCATGAAAACATTTTTTTTCTCAAAGGTTTAGGAAATGTTTTTTTTTTTCCAACCTACACAAATTATTCAAAAGATCTCTGTCAAATCTTTCAGGAGTCCTAAACAAAAGCAAACAAAGAATAAATAAGTCAATTATTGTTATCTAAAAATCAAAAATTAACTGGCTGATATGTGTACTATAAAGAAGGTTAAACATGGCAGTACATAGGTACAAGTTCATATCAAAACCCAAAATCTTAAGCGCTTGACTAATTTTGCACTCTGTCACCGAGGGTTTATTTACATGATTTACTAGCCAACAGTATAATTTATGACTATCAATAAACCATGATCAAATTACAGAACTGTTTTTCAATACATATGTTTTTTGTGTGTAAATCAAGTGAGCCTTTGAGATGTTAATTATTCTTATTAATAGTTATATGCAAAAACAGGCAAAATTCCTTGTTTTAAGTCATCAAGTTTTTCCTCTCACTACACTGTATACAAATTAAAGAATTCAAATGCTTAAAATAGGAGAGTCATAATCTTTTTAACACAGAACTATATGAAGACTTATGATGCTGCAATCCAAATATCAATATATTCTTCTTGAACTCAACGAAATCCGAAAATTAAAAACTTGAACAATGTAAAAATTCAAGTCACTGAATTGTGAGTAATGAAGTGGAGCATCCTGTTCTCCATGAAAATGAATTGCACAAATACCTATGCAAAATCAAAAAATGTAATATCAATATCAAATCTTATTGCAGTGTCTCATTGGGGTATAAGCGTGATGTGGGATAAGCCGATTTTTTGTAGGGCGACATGTGAAAAGTCAAATTTATTTTGCGTGAAAACAGGAAACGAAGTCTGACTGGACAAGTGAAATTACAAGTATTATTACAATGATAAGCGGGATACAGGATTCCGAGAAAACAAAAAGAGGGATCCGGGATCAGAGAGGGTTAGAGCCAAATAATCTCCATTAAAATGAGATGTGCCAATGCTAGTACAAATGCATACTAAATATTATTGACTTCTCATTAAACCGACTTAATCACAAACTTTAACAAATTGTTGATGCGACCACCACCGCTGCCAGAAACAGCACTTGAGTTCTTCTTAAAGATGAGACAAAAACTATAATTTTGTCTGTTTAACACCTTTTTTCTGAGTATTTTTAACAAAGGCCATCAGTTAGTTTGTTATGGATATAAATCAGAATTAAAAGAAGACATCCTTAGAGACTAAAGACAAATGCAAAGTTATAATAGCTCAATGTCTCTTTGGAAAAAGCTAGTAGATAAATATATTTCCTTCTATAAAAATTCAGCAATTTTTTCTATTTATAAACACGCACAACTCTAGAACGGTTGTGTATCAGTTTTATAACATTTGGTTGAGACAAACTAAAGTAAAGAGAACGGAAACAAAAAATTCATAATGCTTAAACATCACACATGCAAGTGCAAGATATCAAGATATTTTTAACCTGAACTTTACAATTTTATATGCATCTTACAGTCATATCAAACTCTTAAACTATATTTTCAAACCAATATCTTTTCTCTAAGATTTGTGACAAACTTGCATACATGTTCTGAGAGAAGGGTTGGTTTTACTTTAAATGTACAAATAAGTTTTTCTAAATATCCAAATGATGGGATCAGATCATCCTTAAATGGACCATTATATTTCAACTAATTCTTATTTTGATGTATTTACTGATTTGAGTGTGATTAATACAGGTACATCTGTTTCACATCAATATCTTTTACCACTGAACTATGAACAATGAAATCAAGGTAACATAATAGATACTCTATATTATAAAATAAAGCATTGCACCCCTCCTCCTCAAATGGAGTTCAGTGAGACTTAGATAACATTGGTAGCCACTATAATAATGTCTTTGCAGGTAGAAATGAGTGGATAACTTTTTCAGTTATCCAAATCAAGAACTGATGATCTATAATAGTTTTAACGATTTGTTTATTTACAGAAAGACATTACAAGAAGAAAATGAAACAGATGAATAAGAAAGATTCAACAATTAACATTAATATCGAATCAGAAATAAAGAACTGAGAACAAAAAAGTAGCTATATAGCAAAATTGTGCATGGATATTATTGAAATATCTTTGCAGTACTGCAATGTGATGTTATCTGCCCCTGCGGACATTGCGGTTATACCATACTGCACTCTCAGGATAATAAAACTCCATCAACATTATACAATAGAAATAATGCAAACAGAAATAAATCCTTGAGTAAATACAGTTGATTGGAAGTTAATGAGGTTTCCAGGACAAAAAATGTATAGATAGTCAGGTTGACAATACAGTGTAAATTTGATAATGCTTTTATTTAAATTAAAATAATTCAAACTCATAAATATTCTTTTCCCAACTAAAACAACATTTGAGAAAATAAATATAGAAAATATCAATCATCAAAAGTTTTCTATACAACAGAGGAATAAAATATTTTCACAACTAATTTGAAAGGATAATTGTGTCTTATGTTTTATCATTTTTTTCAAAATTAAAACAGATCCCTACTTCTGAATGCTTGAACTTCATGCTTTGTTTCTGGCTATATTTTTTACTCTTGATACACTTCAAGATATCTTTTCTGCAAGGTAAAAACAGTTTTAAATAACTGATTTTCCTGAAATAATTGTAAGTTGTCAGGTTACTTTTATATCACAATAATATTTGTTGTTTTTATTCAGAAAAAAATTGTTTAGGTATCTTCTGGCATCCACAGATTGATAAAAAAAAAAACCCAAAGTAATGAAAGTGAATTTAAACAAGAGTGCACACCCTGAAATGTCTCACCTTCCTTACTGACCATTGATTTTATATTGATAGTCCTAAATATAAAGCTTTACTACAACTATCACATAAACTTAACATGATCCAAGAAAATGAGATCAAGGTCAGATAAACCAAACTGTAAATACATGTACACCTTACAATCATTCCATACACCAAATATGCTTTAAATATAGTTGACCTATTGCACATAGTATCTAAGAAACAAACTTAATAAGGAAAATTTAACATTGATCAATGAACCATGAAATTGAGGTCAAGGTCAGATGAACCCTGCCAGACAGACATGTACACCTTACAATCATTACATGCTTTAAATATAGTTGACCTATTGCAAATAGTATCTGAGAAACAAACTTAACCAGGAAAACTTAAGATTGACCAATGAACCATGAAAATGAGGTCATGGTCAGATGATAATTGCCAGACAGACATATACACCTTACAATCATTCCATACACCAAATATAGTTGACATATTGGTTAAAGTATTAGAAAAACAGACCAAAAAAAAAAAAAAAATTAACATTGAGCAATGAACCGTAAAAATGAGGTGAAGGTCAAATAAAACATGCCAGATTGACATGTACATCGTAAAATATTATATAGTTGACCTATTGCATATAGTATTAGAAAAAAAGACCAAAACACAAAAACTTAACTTTAACCACTGAACCATGAAAATGAGATCAAGGTCAGATGACACCTGCCAGTTGGACATGTACACCTTACAATCATTTCATACACCAAATATAGTAGACCTATCGCTTATAGTATCTTATATATGGACTTGACCACGAAAACTTAACCTTGTTCACTGATTCAGGAAATTAGGTCGAGGGCAGATGAAAACTGTCTGACAGGCATGAGGACCTTGCAAGGTACGCACATACTAAATATAGTTATCCTATTACTCAGAATAAGAGAGAAATTAACATTACAAAAAATCTTAAACTTTTTTTCAAGTAGTCACTGAACCATGAAAATGAGGTCAAAGACAATGGTCATATGACAGACAGAAACTTCATAACATAAGGCATCTATATACCAAGTATGAATCATCCAGGTCTTCTACCTTCTAAAATATAAAGCTTTGAAGTAGTTAGTTAATGCCGCCGCCGTATCACTATCCCTATGTTGAGCTTTCTGCGACATCTGTTGCAGGCCCGACAAAAAAATGATACACTTCAAAACTTTAGGTAGAGGCATCTTCAACAATAGCCATGTTTTTGGTAAACATCATCTTGAAAGGGCAATATTTTTATAAAGAGTTAACTGCAATTTCAGCCATGTTGACATATTTGTAGATCTTGTCTTGCTGATCAATTTTAAAGTTTCTGTCTACATTTGTATCTATTACTTTTCAAGAAAAATTATGCCTCGTTCACACGTACATTTAATTCAAATTGAATTCGAATCGAATGCGAATCGAATTCGCTAATCGCGTTCACACACTCTTCTTTTTTAATTGGAATTGATTCGAATTGGCTAAATCGCATTATCCAATTCGGATTAGAAATGCGTTTTTGTTAATACAAATTAAAAGTTAACGTCGTTCGGACAGTAAAGCGAATTTGACGCGCATTGCAATTCGAATTAGAATTTACGTTTGGACGTAAAACGTTTCGAATGCGAATTAAACTAATTCGAATTAGTTAATGCGAATCGAATTCGAATTACGTGTGAACGCAGCATTAGAAAAAACTCCAAAAAATGGTTAAAACATCTGTAAATTGAAATAACTCGAACAACAAGTCAACCAAAGATTTCAGCCATGATGGCTTATTTGTAGATCTTGTCTTTCTGATCATTTTTGCTATATAAAAAAGTTTCTATCTATCTCTTATAGTTTTCAAAATAAAAGTCAAAAATGCAAAAAATCATGAAAAATCATCATTAAAGGGCAATAACTTTAATAAGGAGTCAACTTCTGATTTCTATCATGTTGATTTATTTGTAGATCTTAGCTTGTTGATCATTTTGGCCATTTAAAGTTTCTTTCTATTTATTATAGTTTTTAAGATACAAGGCAAACACACAAAAAATTTGAAAAATCTTCATACAAGAGCAATAACTCCAATAAGGAATCGCCAGATGATTTCAGCCATGTTGCCTTTTTTGTTGATCTTGTCTTGCTAATCATTTTTCCTAATTTAAATTTCTCTGTAACTATTATAGTTTTCATAATAATAGACAAAAACGAAAAAAATTGATAAAATTTGTATTTAAGGGCAATAACTTGCCTGATAGTATTGACGTAAATGGACAGCTGGTCGATCTGAACATTCTCAACATTTCTGCCCCTGTCAGATTTTCTCTATTCAAAGCAGTTTTCAAGATAATAGACAAAACTTGCATTTTACCCCTATATTCTATTTTTAGCCATGTCAGCCATCTTGGTTTACAGGTGGGGTCATCAGACACATTTTTAAAACTAGATTCCAAAATAATGAATGTGGCCAAGTTTGGTTAAATCTGGCCAAGTAGTTTCAGAGGAGAAGATTTTTGTAAAAGTTGTAAAAACAAACGATGACAACAGACACCTCTGATGAGAAAAGCTCACTTGGCCTTTGGGCCAGTGAGCTTCTTAAAATGAGGGTTTCAATCCAGGTCCTAAAACCCTGAAAATCAAACCACATGTGTAAAAATGTCTCAACTTCAATAAGTACCACCATACATAATCAAGTTTAGGATATGGACCATGGAATTATTAAGAAAATGTATCTAATTCAGCTTACCTAAACAAATGCATAATACATACTAATATAAATGGGAAACCTTTTCAATTTTGAAGTGAAAATAAAAGTAATAAGTAATGGATAAGATCTTACCTCAAGAGGAGAAAGAAATTAATTCTAATGGACCATTTTGGTTTATAATCATTTATATCCAATCATTTCAGGCCCTTTACATGTATACCTTACTATGCGGTATGACTTTTGCTCATTGTTGAAGGCCGTACTGTGACCTAAAGTTGTTAACTTCTACGTCATTTGGTCTCTAGAAGAGAGTTGTCTCATTGGCAATGATACCACATCCTCTTATTTTTATATAAGTATCAATTAACACTTGTAATCAGTTGCAGTGAGCTGCTGACGGATATTCTTACCTATGTAGCTCATCAAAGTAATAAAATAAGATCACCATTGGAGAAATGACATGGTTACCAACACTTCAGGTGCTAAATACTATCAAAGGTTAATCATATCTACCACCTTCTCAAAATCTCCATGGGGGAAAAACACAAGGAGGACCTATAGTATGTCATACATATGTAATGTGTGTCTTTAATCTAATATAATATGATTTGAATGAGTATATAATATGTACTTTAATACCATTTTTACTCCTTTGAAATTTTGAATACCTGTTTTAAGTATTTATGTCATGTAATGGAGGATTTCAAGATTCCACAACTCTCATGGTAGAAAAAAATCTGGAATGTTGTCAGGCATTGGTTGACAAACAGACATCTGTGGTTGGGCAGAACAATTCTCAAATCATGATCAGCCACCTGTCCTTTAGATGGTAATAAATGACTGTATGAATGTTAAAAGGTTATGTATGCAATGATCATAGCACAAATTTTCTAGCATCATTCATTTAGGGGCTGATGCTATGGCTTAAACTTTTTTAATCACCAACTCTCTTTTTCTATATTTTCTGAGGTACAAAAAATGTAGTCAATACAAAATACCATTAGAAATTCGTGGGAGTCTGTATTTCTCACTTGGTTTAAGAAATGCCCGTCAAAAAATGGAAAATCTTCAGCAAATTTCAAGACTACCACATTTTGTGCATGTCCAACTATGAGTATCATCTAAACCATGTGTTGGTCATTATTGTTTGTCTTAGAAAAATTTGTAAGGGGTTCCAAGGAACCCTGTGTCTCATCTACGAATGCTGCTGTCAGTGTTAAAGTGTAATGTTGACTTAAAAAGTGAGTCCATTTATCAGTAAAATACACAATTAAAAAAAAAAATCGAACTTTTTCTTTAGATGCTATTTTTTGATCTTGAAGATATGTTTCTGTTCAAGTTCATAACAATCCACGAAGCTTTACAAATTTATCATGTCAAAAAAATTTAATACCAGACTGCATGTAAATGTTAACTGTAACAAGAGTGCACACACTGAACTGTCTCGCCTTCTTTACTTATCATTGATATTATGTTGATAGTCCTAAATATAAAGCTTTATTACAACTGTCACATAAACTGATTATTAACCAAGTTAACTAAACATTGACCAATGAACCATGAAAATGAGGTCAAGGTCAGATGAACCATGCTAGGCAGGCATGTACAGCTAACAATTCTTCCATACAACAAATATAGTTGACCTATTGCTTTTAGTTTAAAGAAAAACAGACCAAAACACAAAAACTTAACACTGAGCAATGAACCTTAAAAATGAGGTCAAGGTAAAAAAAAAAACTGTGTGACTGACAAATAGATCATAAAATATTTCCATACACACAATATAGTTGAACTATTGCATATAGTATTAGAAAAAAAGACCAAAACTCAAAAACTTAACTTTGACCACTGAACCATGAAAATGAGGTCAAGGTCAGATGACACCTGCCCGCTAGACATGTACACCTTACAATCATTCCATACACCAACTATAGTAGGCCTATGGCATACAGTATAAGAAAAACAGACCAAAACACAAAAACTTAACTATAACCACTGAACCATGAAAATGAGGTCAAGGTCAGATGACACCTGCCAGTTGGACATGTACACCTTACAGTCCTTCCATACACCGAATATACTAGACCTATTGCTTATAGTATCTGAGATATGGACTTGACCACCAAAACTTAACCTTGTTCACTGATCCATGAAATGAGGTTGAGGTCAAGTGAAAACTGTCTGACGGGCATGAGGACCTTGCAAGGTACGCACATACCAAATATAGTTGAACTATTGCATATAGTATTAGAAAAAAAGACCAAAACTCAAAAACTTAACTTTGACCACTGAACCATGAAAATGAGGTCAAGGTTATATGACACCTGCCCGCTAGACATGTACACCTTACAATCATTCCATACACCAAATATAGTAGACCTATGGCATACAGTATAGGAAAAACAGACCAAAACACAAAAACTTAACTATAACCACTGAACCATGAAAATGAGGTCAAGGTCAGATGACACCTGCCAGTTGGACATGTACACCTTACAGTCCTTCCATACACTGAATATACTAGACCTATTGCTTATAGTATCTGAGATACGGACTTGACCACCAAAACTTAACCTTGTTCACTGATCCATGAAATGAGGTCGAGGTCAAGTGAAAACTGTCTGACGGGCATGAGGACCTTGCAAGGTACGCACATACCAAATAGAGTTATCCTATTACTTATAATAAGAGAGAATCTAACATTACAAAAAATCTTAACTTTTTTTTAAAGTAGTCACTGAACCATGAAA